GTTTACTTGACCTTGTTTCTACGTAATTCCCTCCTGGAGTGAGGCCTTACTCATTTTGAATGGGGGGACGAGATAATAAGCGTTTGGGCGTATTTTACTTGAATACGTATAATTGAAATAATATAAAATAATTAATAAAAGAACGACAAAATCGCAGTGCTTTAGACAGGCCCACCTGTCGAAAGAACATGGTTTTATCGATTTTCGTAGGGCGCACGAGGATTTTTCTTCGCTACTTTAATTCTTGTCTTTGTCCGCTTCTCGTTAAAAATCCTTTGTCTTCTTCAGTAGCCAGACGAAAAGATTCTGTCTTAATGACACTTTTCTATGACGTGAAAGTGTGATATCGTCACTATTTTAATTCTTGTCTCTGTCCGCTTCTCGTCTGTCTATTCAATGAACTTAGAAGGTACCAAGTACTAACAAAACTCTATGAGAAAAGATTTTGTTTTAATAATACACTTTTGTTTCTTCTTTTCCTTTACTGTCCATGTTCTAATTTACATACTTATAACATCTTGTAGAATTCAATGTACAACCTGAACACCACAACTGGTTATTTTTTTGTATAGAAAGTAGCATTATTTGTTTGAGAGGTTCAGTATTCTATTTTATTATCTTAGTTTGGAATTCATCTGAATTAATGTTTATACCACACTGTTAATGTTGACTATTTTTCTTTTCTTGCACACTTTAATGCGTGCGTTAAAACTAATCATAAAACAGTACAGACTGTCACAAATAACATTTTATTACGATATATAAACAGAATTTCTTAAAAATTCGATTCAACAAATAAAAGCACTTCACCTAGTTTTATTCTTTTATTTAATACATATTTCGTCTGTTTCTGTACATATTGAAAATATGCCTTAGTTTTATATTTTTACTCCTTTCTTTACTTATGTTGAGCATTCAAGTCTGAGAGTGAAACATTTGATCACACGAAGGTTCGTATTTGAAACTTAAATGATCAAAGCTGTATTAAGTCGATTTTAGTCTTATGTTTACACACTAATGTTGGGGAGTGAGATGTCGTCAAACATAATTAAACATATCAGTAAATGTAATGAAAACTTATATATTGATTGTTTGTTTCCTTATTTTCTCTCTGAGCTACGCAGAGGCTATCTGCACATAGTAGTCTTTGATTTCGAACTGATAGACTAGAGGGAAGGCAGCCAGTTAACAGCACCTACCACTAATTCTTAACCCACTACTGTCTGGTTGAGTAGTGGATTTGATCGTTACTTTAATAGAGAACCTACTGACCAAAGTGCGGATCGCATTTCAGAGGTAACGGACCTGAACCGTAAATATGGTCTTTGATATCTGCCGGAAAGAAATCAAGTGTACATTACCAAAACGCAAGTTGAAATAATGTTATTTAGAACAAAATTTCAAAAATTGACCTTGTGATATTCAGGTTCACTGATGACTAGCAGAAAAGTTTCAAAGTATATAACAAGACGAAGATTCAGTAAATGTACTACATAAAGCAAATCGAACACGGGCAGCAAAGGAAAGAAACACAGACAAATGAACAAATAGAACAAAAATGTGTTCACACTTACTGACTGGCTTCCTTATTTCAGTCTGGTTGCCGAGTTGGAAGATAGAACACATCTATACGAAGTAAATACTATGATAATTCTAATATAATGAGAGTTACAAGAGTAGTATACCACAATACTTGTGAGTTACAAGAGCAGTATACTATAATTCTAATGAGTTACAAAAGTTGTACACCTCAATTCTAGTGAGTTACAAGAGGATTATACCAAATTCTATTGAGTTACAAGAGCAGTATACCACAATTCTAGTGAGTTACGGAGGTTGTGATAGTGACCGATTTCCCGGCAGTTGTGTCTTTAGTTTGTTTCTTATTGAAGAATGCATAAGAACCAAGCACGTCAGTTCTGATCAATAACTTATGTCGGGTAATGGGGGATGACAGAAGGATGCAGTCTGCAGTGGCTAAGGTACAGTGAGAGCCTAGGCCTTTCCACTATGTTAACAAAATAGAGATTATTTGGTTCCACTGCGGGAACAGTGTCATGTTCAATGATTGTAACTGTAACTTTTTAACTTCAGTTTTTTATTATGATAAGGAATTCATTTTTCCAATTCCGGCAGGCATGGTGGCTTGTAATGCTACAGTTCGGGGTTCGATCTCCCATTGTACCACTGTGCTTAGCAAGAAAAAACTAAAAATATTGTTGCAGAATAGTGTTTAAATGCATACTGAAAATATTTTTCCTTCTGGAAACTTATCAACCAGTGGCAGCACTGCAGTACAGTTAAAATATAATATCCAGATCAAGAAGCTCAGTTATATAAAGATCCAACCAATAAATTAGTCAACGCCAGGCTTACACGTAGTTAAACTACCGATTTTATTAGAATTTCAGAAATAACGATAATCTATTCTAGTGCTCAACAATCATAACTAATAAGTAAAAAATAAAACTCTAAGTAAAGGAGGCCTGGCATGGCTTGGTGGCTAGGGCGCTTGATTCGCAATCAATGGATTGCGAGTTCTAATTCTACCACCGTATATGTTCGTCCTATAAGCCGAAGGATCGTTATACCGTGATGGTCAATCCCACTATTCGTTGGTAAAAAGTAGTCCAAAACTTGGCGGTTGGTGTTATTGACTAGCCTCCCCTTTAGTTTATCCCTTCTAAGTTAAGGACGACAAGCTTAGATAGTCCTCGACTAGGTTTGTGCGAAATTCCAAAAACAAGCATATATTAATTAAATGTATATATATATATATTATTGCTGTTTATAAAAATGGCTAATGTAAGCTATTTTTTGCACATTTTAAAGTATTATTACATAGTACAGACACCATACAGCCATGATATCTAATGTATTGCTGAGACTAGGTTATGGAAATAAAATATTTAGGTAGGCTATTGCTTACTGGTTAGGCCTAAATGATTTTACAGAATAATTCCTTAAACTGAAATTTGCTTTCATTTTCTTGAACAGTTAGTTAAATATTTTGTAAATTAATTAATCGAAATATTTGACAAACTTTCTGATATCACTCTGTCTAATGTTTATTGTTTGTATAATATTAACATTTGAAATTTCTTTTGCTCGTGCTTGGTAAATATTTAGTTTTTATATTTTAATCTTGTAAAAACAAGCTGAAACTTTATGACTTAACACTAAAATTAAAAGTTAAACAGACTGACATAATTATTGAACATGTCTAAAAATTATTTTTTTATTTCTTTATTAGGTTAAGGTGGCTATGGGAATCAAGCAGTGCCATCTGTCCGTCACTTTATCTTCGCAGCTCACAACTCGACAGTTATAATTTTACACAACGTATTTGGCTCACCCACGGTCGTTTGGCGGAAGCTTTACGCGTCCGAAACTCTGATGTTCCTGTTTATCCATATATAAATTACTTTCTTTATGGCAGCCACTCACCCGTTCCTGAGGTTAGTTGATTTGGAATTTTAGTTCAGTTTTGTAACCAACAACATGTTTTGATTGATAGAACTTTTCATAAATCTTACTATATTTGGATGAACCGAATATAAGTTTTGGCTTTACCAGATAAGTCCGCCCAACAGAATATTGTATTGCAGAACAGTGCTGAATTAATACCGGCTGAGTTAACCTAAGGAATAATACACACACACACTATATGTATGATACACAATGAAAAAAAAAATCTTTATAAACACTTAAAACAAAAACGCAGTGTTTTTAGTTTTCCTTAAATTTCTTCAAACAGTTGCTTCTTTTGAAACGTTTCTAAGTTAGGGTCATCCATTAGACTAACTAAATTAGAGATTTCTATACAAAACAAAATTATCATCTACCTGGAGTGAATAATCATTCTTATTCCACACTGGTGGGCGGTGATATCTAGACATTACCTGTATAATCAGGAAAGGACATTGCCCTAACCACAAAGTTGGATCTAACAGTGCTCTCCATTGGCAATAGCATGTAACACCTTCTTAGAAAATGACACGGAAAGCAAGGTAATTTGAAAGAAAATGAACTTAATGGTTTTTGTAACCACGTGTGATGCGTAAAACCTACAAATACACAGGATAAAGAAGAAATTGAGAATAAATATCAATACTAGAGAAAGAAAAATTATTACGTATTCCTATATCACAAATAAACTGCTAAATGTATAAATTGTGCAAGTCATATTTTATGTGTTTGTTTATTTAGCTTAAAACGCTAAAAATTCGGGTTTCGATACCAGCAGAGAACTCAAATTACTTAACCCATTAGGTAGCTTTGAGCTTGATAACAAACAAAGTATGGTATAGTATGTTAATTTAATCATATGTTTCAGTGCAAATACGAGCCATATAAGATCTAATTTCTATCGTGCTGGAATGTGAATTCCAAGAATTCATGGCTTGTGTCCTTTTGTTGTAAAAGAAAATTGCATTCTGCACTCTGGAATCGTGTATTCGTCGTAAAAGTAACAGTCAACTTGCACTATTCAATTAAAGTAGTCCCAGCGTTTGTGGTAGTTACTGCCTTCACTCTAGTCTGTTAGTTCAACATTAGCGATGTCTAGCACATACAGTCATTGTGTAGTTTTCCGCGAATATGCGAAACATACCAAACCATTGCAATTATAATACTTCACAGTTCATATCTAATCAAACCAACATACTAAACAACGATCGCTACTACCGTAGGTTTTATACGAAATAATGTAACTTTGATGCAGTGCTGTCAACTTGAAGATGGTGTCACCATTCGCCAGTCAAGGATGGGACTGTAGAGAATGGAAAATAACAGAGGAATAAATTGGTATTTAAATGATTTAGTGCAGTGATATTCTTATATTAACATTTATTTGTATTCTTTTATTTAAATCTATAAATGTGAAATTCAACATGTTGTTAACTATCAACGTGCAGACCAAATGTGAGGTGATGTGTGGATCGTCAGTTAGACCACGATGATCTACATTAATTTTTTAAAAATCCAAATTTCTAGCCATATAGCTTTCATAATCATAAAATGTTACTAAAAAAACTTGGATGAATAAAAACATGTTTTTAATTATACTCTGAAAAGTGATTTATCTGCACAATATTGAGTGTGTATTTATGTATTAATATTGTTCTTCTCGAACACCTTCCATACCCAAGGCTGCTGTCTGAGCCACCATTCGGTAAAAATCTTCCTAAAGAAATATAAATGTCTAGCAAAGCATCTGTTTTTCTTTAAAAACACCTGCAATTGTTTGTCAGCTAACAAATTGTAATTGCTTGTAAGCGACAATCAGTCATTTATATGTCTAGCTAAGCATCTGTTTAATGTAAGAACACCTGTAATTGTTTGTCAGCTAATCGCTCACACTAGAACGCAGACTCTAAGGTTGATATAAGAATTACCATTACTGTACCTGTATCTCACTGTCATACTTGTGTATTTATTGCATCTAACAGGTTTCTTCTTTGTTCAGTTGCATCTGTTTCAAGATAGGTTAGATTGAGTCTAATTTGACTTTTGTTTTACAGTTTTAATTAAGTAAATTGACGTGGGGAAACAAATTATATTAAAATATTTTAAGAGAAATGTATTATTTCTTTAATATTCGTATATTAGGCTTCGAGAAAAAACAAAAAAAACAAGACGTAGAAAACATAACTAGGCAAATCTCTTTCAAGTAATATCCATAATGGCATCTTTCCACAGCAGAAAGGTACATGAATAACATTAAGTGTGATTGAATTTGCTTTTTAAACTAGCATTTACTGATAAAAATAACAATTTTACTGATACTAGCAAGCATTTCCAAGCAGATGATTTATAAATTTATCATAGTCGAAAAATTTGAGTACTTTGATAATGATAATAATTATACAGAAATTATGAAAATACCGACTATAAATAGACGTATTTTCTCTGGCTTGTCTTTGCCATCAATTGGTTCAACATAAAACTACAAGAAAGAGATAATAATAATAATAGGTATTTTTGTGTGTTGATAGACAGAATTGTTTCTAACACAATATTGTGCAATACTGTCCAAATAAAACCGTCGTTATTAAACTTAAAAAAATAGGAAAAAACAGCTGTACCCAGTTCCAGATTTGAGTGAGTCTCAATTCCACGCCCTATCTTCTGTCTTGGGTGAGTGGTAGGAACAAAGATAATGGCCAGATGTGTTTTAATAAAATCAGATGGTATGGCTTAAGTTTAACTAGCTAAATGTATTGCGTGTTGGTTTATATTAAAAGGAAATGCGAACTGGGTAGTTTTTTTTTGTTTGTTAATTCACTGTTAATTCTCGTCTGGGTTTGTATTTTTCATTATACAGTTGATATGTATTTTATTGGTATTAGTAAATGTATTTAAATAACAATGTTTTTATTTGATCTCCTGAGAGTAGTATTGCTGAAAATCAGTTATATTTCGTATTAATTAATAAAACACCCAATACCTACATTTCTGTTTCTGACTGACGACAGTTTATTTATGTAAGTTGATTATCTAAAGTATCTCGCCCAGGTAAGTAGAAGTAAAAGTTAAGAACCTTAAGAAATAAAATTATATTTAATTAGGACTACAGTAAAAGTGTTTAGTTTACAAATTACTGTTTCGAAATACCAGTACATGTTATATCTTCAAACGAAAAGTGCGGGTCGGTCGGATTCGTTAATTCTCGCCATCCTGAGTAGGGATTGGCCAACCAGGCGCAGGGATCTCATCCTTTGCACACAATTCCTGCACATTTTAAAACATTCTTTGTTATTATTTGTGCTGCTGGGCCAATTACAGACGTTACATATTTGTCCAATGTGTTACAATCTTCTTTGTTGCCAACGAAAGACAAAGAACCCCAAATTAGTTGAGGGTTATCTGCCATAGTTGTTCCTAAATTGCAAATGATAGACTAGAGGAAAGGCAGCTAGTCAACTACGCCCACCGCTAACTCTTGGGCTTCTCTTTACCAGTAATGAATGGGATTAACTGCCATATTATAATGCATCTTCGGTTACAGGATTCAAACCCCCGACTCTCATTTGAGCACCATGACTACCAGGCCATACGAGTCCAGTATGTGTAATATATATATATTCATTTATTTATCATGTTAGAGAAACACGTAGGTTCAAGAAGTCTTGATATAAATATATATATCATTTAATCCATTACACCACCATTCTCAGTTTGCTCTTGAAGAATAAAGGTTCACTTTTTGAAAGCGCTCAGGTTGTAGGGTTTTTTATTCATTTCTATGTATATATATATATTAATTATGTACCTGCTTCACAAGATAGAAATATTAGTAACTTAAATCCTCTTCTATAAAAAAATAACTTTAAAAATATGAATTGTTTGTAAACGACAATCAGTCACTTTAGTTTAAACTTACACCAAATGACTGGACAAGATGTAAGTAGAACTTTTCTAGGTTATTAGTAATAGAAGGTATGTATGTAATGATTTTTTGTCTGTTTGCTGAATTTGACACAAATTTAAGCTACGATAACTGCCTTGGAGTCACATGTGTAGAATAAATAACATAATATTATGTCACAAGCCAATCAACAATAACCACCTTGTTCAAAGCAGTTGACAGCTGAGATATATTATAAATCATTGACTCATGACATAGTGTTGTGTTAATGACCGTTTATATGTGGCATGATGTATGTTAAGCTGCAGTATATAAATGTTTGACTGCCAAGTTAAAAGTGAAAGTCAGTTGTGTTTCGTAATTATCAATTTTACAGGTATTATCATGCAGATGCCTGTTTGGATTCGCCGTTTCATATTTAATGTTATTCATGTAAATTTCTGGTGTGGAAAAATGCCATAATGGATAATACTTAAAAGAGATTTCCCCAGTTACGTTTTCTACGTCATGTTTTTTTTTTTTCTCGAAGCCTAAAATACGAATATAACAAAGAAATAATACATGACTCTTAAAATATTTTAATATAATTTGATTCCCCACCTTAATTTACTTAATTAAAACTGTAAAAACAAAAGTCAAATTAGACTTAGTCTAACGGGTCTTGAAACAGACTCAACTGAACAAAGAAGAAACCTGTTAGTTGGAATAAATACACAAGTATAACAGTAAATACAGGTATAGTAATGACAATTCTTATATCAACCTTAGAGTCTGCGTTCTAGTGTGAGCGATTAGCTGACAAACAATTACAGGTGTTCTTACAGAAAACAGATGCTTTGCTAGACATATAAGTGACTGATTGCCGTTCATAAGCAATTACAATTTGTTCGCTGACAAACAATTACAGGTGTTCTTACAGAAAACAGATTCTTTTCTAGACATTTAAATGACTGATTGTCGTTTAGAAGTAATTTTTTATAGAAGATGTATGTACAGATATTTTAAAGATGGTATTTTCGTCGAAGATTATATATTTATTGCTTAAAAGTTTGTTTGTTTTGTAATATTCTGGAAATATACAAGTTAAGTTTTCTGTTGTAAGAACTGAAAATGAAGATTGCTTTCTTATACATATGATGAATAATTTTTTCAATGTTTACTTGGAGTAGTATGAGAGTTTAGATATAGAAAATGGACATTAGTTTTCAGTAAGTCAACTCTCGAAAACCAAACGAATGTACTTTGTGTACATTTTCTTATTTAAGAATTCTCTTAAAATATGGTAAACTCCAAATTGTTCCTTTTATCTGATATTTGATTTTAGTTGGATTCTAAACTTCAGCAAAGACTCATTCATAAAGGCAGAGTCTTACTGGTTTGGTAGCAGGAAAATATCTGGCAGTCATTGTCCAGAGTAATGGTTTTTATTACTTCATACGAAGAGGAAAAGTCTTACAGGAGTTTTCTGTTTGTTTTGAAGATGCATTCTGATTTTATAGTCACCATTCTGTTAGAACGTACTTAAGACAGAATTCACATCCGGCAATAAAATATATATTTTCTGTACTTATCGACAAAGCTTCTTTAAAAAGCTTTATTTTAGATTTTGTTGTCGCGTTAGTTGCTACTTCTTAACATTGGTAAAAAAAATTCTGTTTAACATGAATTGTTTCCGTTTGAATGAAGCAGAACGTAATTAGGGCTAACGTTTCCCTACAAAATTTTCAACATTAAATACATTTTTCACTATGTAATAAAACGTAGGTGTTGCTCCTGTTACCTTTCTAGACAGGACTGATTCTGATTTATCATCATAGTGCTGATATTGTTCCTTTGTTTCTTAGACATTATATCTGGAAGTGAAAAAGTGAAATGGTTTTTCCTTGACTAGTTCACTAAACTTGCGGCAAATAAGGCGATATCTCAACTTTCGTTCTTGATGCTTAAAGTACTTACTTTATCCATAAGAATAAAACTCCTTAATAGATTCTGCTTAGATAACTTTTTATAATAAATGTTTAAATGGGTATTATCTTAAATATGAACGATTCTGGCATTGTCAAGATTGGAAAATGTCTTAGCAGTATTCTGATATTGACTGGTTCATAACTTATATTGTTCGAAGATCCGACTTTCACTAATTCATAAACTAACTGCAAGAAAACTGTACAATGAAAAATGCGCGATTAACTTGATGATAGTGAAATGAAAGGAGCGAAAGTCATCAATAACTCTTCGCAAAATAAACATTTATTATTCAATATTAAATGCCATTTCAGTTATGAACTTCCTTTATAGGTTTAGATAACCATACATTATTCATTTATTTTCGCTGGTCCAAACGTATAATAGACTTTAGAATACTCTTAGCTTTAGAGAAAGACTGGTTATAATGTCAGGTTTTCCATTTCTTGATAAATGATCAATTCTCAAACTGTAATGTAGAAATGCTTGATAATGACCTATTCACAACTCAGTGTACAGAGTGATGGGGCTAGGTAGTGATTACATTATTTTGGCAGTGATTATTGTAATGCATATTAGTTTGAGGCACATAAGTTGCATTAAGCCAAACATGTCCTTTACATCTAAAGGTAACAAAACTAATCCTGCTTGACAACTCTTAGACAAATTGCATCAAAATAT